TTCATTCACCCCCTTGGCTTTCTCAACCACTCTAATCTAACATCCTCCAAATCTGTCTCCAACTCAGACTGCTTCACCTATTTCACAGGTGCCTCAGACCCTCCATATCTAAAGCCAGACTCATCACCTTACTTACCCTCCAAACGTACTTCTCACCCTCCAGGGTTCCTCTGTACCATGAAAGGCACCGAATCCACCAGGTCACTCACACCAGAAACCTGCCTCCTTTTCCTTCCCCCTCTACAGCCAAGCAATCTCCAAGTCCCTAACCCACCCCTTCTTTTCCATGACTATCACCACTGCCCTAGTTCAGGCCTCATCACTTTCTAGAGAGAAACAGCCTCCCATCAGTCAGCAAATCCCATCCTATTACTCACCTTAGAACCTGCCCATGAATTTTTCTCACCTACTGCAGTGTTCATATTGTGCTTTTGAGAAATAACTGTCCTGCTCGGTTTTAAAGGAATCTATTGCAGAAAGCTAATGGGAAACAAAGGTAAACAGGCTTCTTTTTACTAGTTCTTATCCTTATCCTAGCCCAGTGATGGCGAACCTTTTGAGCTCGGCGTGTCAGCATTTTGAAAAACCCTAACGTAACTCTGGTGCCATGTCACATACAGAAATTGATGGAATGAGGGTAGGGGCTGAGCTGAGTCTTTTTAAAGGAGCAAGAGTCAGTCTGGTGACATGCAGGGGACATGGCACTTCAGACAGAGGGGAGAGCATAAGTAAAAAGAGTAAAAACAGAGGAGAGGACAGCACCGTGATGGCGAACCTTTTGAGCTCGGCGTGTCAGCATTTTGCAAAACCCTAACTTAACTCTGGTGCCGTGTCACATATAGAAATTTTTTGATATTTGCAACCATAGTAAAACAAAGACTTATATTTTTGATATTTATTTTATATATTTAAATGCCATTTAACAAAGAAAAATCAACCAAAAAAATGAGTTCACGTGTCACCTCTGACACGCGTGTCATAGGTTCACCATCACTGTCCTAGCCTCTACTATGTTAATGATTATTGTGACTCTTAAGGAGGAGCTGAAGAAAAGAGCTTTTCTTACATAATTTGGCTGGAGAAGTTTTTTCTTCACTGAACATCTAACAGAACTATGCTTCCATAGCATGCATTTTGGTGAACACTGGCCTAAAGGACAAAATCAAAGGCATGTAAGGCCATCAGCGTCCTACCCTTTTCCAGGGCCTCCCCACCCGCCCCAGCTTCACTCTCTGCCACTCCTCCCCTCCACACACCCACAAGCAAGCAAGCATGCATGAACGCACGCACGCACACACCACACACACACTTACTCCAATGCTGAGCACCCTACCACTTTCCAAATATAACACATAATCTCCTCATACCACAGAATTTATTTGAGTGTTGCTCTCCCTGCCTCCTCCACCTAGTTAACTCTTTCTCATCTCTTCAGACTCAGCTCAACCCCCACCAAAGAAGCCTCCTCCCCAAGTTTCCTGTTACCCACGCACCCTGAGCTCCTCTATATTAGAATACCTACCACCCAGTGTGTGAATGTCTATTTAATCATCTGGATCCCTCGCTAGACTGTAAATTTCCTTGAGAGAAAGTCTCTGCCTACTGTCATCTCCAAGACTAAAAAACTGAGTGAAGAATTTTGTAAAAATCATACTATGCAAAAGGCCGTCTGCAGGACCCCTTATTCTTCAATGCCCTGAAGGCACAACAAAGGTGTAGATCCCTGTTGTTCAAACAGCCAGATGTGAAAATGTGGCTAGGCCAAACTGAAATTTGCTAAAACTGGCCCTAGCAGGTTTGGCTCAGTGGATAGAGCATACGTCTGGGTTCGATTCCGGTCAAGGGCACGTACCTCAATGGCAGGCTCCTCCCTGGCTCAGGCCCTGGTTGGGGCGCCTGCAGGAGGCAACCAATCAATGTGTTTCTCACATCATGTCTTTCTCTGTCTCTTCCCCTCCCTTCCACTCTCCCTAAAAATCAATGGGAAAATATCCTCAGGTGAGGATTTAAAAAAAAATTTTTTTTAGAAAAACTAAAATACCCAGATTTTGAAAACGT